TTTTTTGCTTTTCATAGACAGCTTTGGGTACTTCTTTGATCTTTCTGTATATTTTCAAATTATTATGTAGCGTGTTTGTCTTTAATTTTCTTTATTATCTGAATAGTGAAGCTCATAGGGTTACTATTGCAAAATTGGGGTTAGCGTAAATGAAACAAGAGTGGGAAATTTTTCTAGAAGATCTGTATTTGCAGTTTGTTCAATTTTTATTTTTTTTTTCCTTTTATCAGGTTGGGCTAATTGAATATTAATCTGTTCTGTTGGATTATTACTGATGGGTTTTTGATTGTATGCAATGTCGGTTTTTCTATTTGTTTTCTTGACCCTAAATGTTTCGTCTTGCAGCTGAACAATGCCTCGTTACGAAGATAGGTATGGCAGCACTACTCGCCTTTATGTTGGCCACTTGTCTTCAAGAACCCGTTCTCGGGATTTGGAGCACATTTTCAGTAGATATGGAAGGTAACTAGCAGCATCTTTGGTGTGGCACGACTTTGATGATCTATTGCTAGACTTCATTTAGATTATGTGGTTAGATGGTTTGTTAATTGGGGTCATTAAAGTTCCTTTTTTTTTGGAAACTTAATTGTTGTGGTGTTGCGATTTTGGATGCCGTCTTTTACTTTTACCAGCTGGTGAAGGGATGGTTGCCTGACTTTCTTGGTGATGGTAACAAATTTTAGCTTGTTTCCATTTAGTGAAGGTGGTCCTTGCAGAATAATTTACTCCTAGTGGTTCTCACATATGGGAAACGCAATGTCTGTAATTGCTGCATATGTATTTATTTATTTATTTTTTTGGTTGAGAACAGTTACATGATAGTTGTCGTTTTTTTTTCTTTGAAACATTAACTGGATGCTATCATCCTGGGTGATTGTCCTGTTCCCTCTGATGTAAATCAGAAACCAATTGGTATAGGGGATTCAATTCTCTCCATTGGTAGGGACACAAGTGATTTTCCTTCGCCGTCCCTGCTTGGGGCGCATCTTTGTCATCATGTTTTTTGTGAAGGAACAATAATCCCCAGGTTCCTTTTGAGTTTGACTTTAATGGTTCTATTGAAGGTTTTTGTGAGCCTTTCCCTTACATGGTGGTCAAATGGTCGGAGGGTGGACCTTCCTGACCTGAGGTGGTCCATGGTGAAATGGGTGGACCTGGTGGATTTTCTTGCCCGTTGTTAGAAAGAAGCCTTTGGCGATTTTCTGTGTTGTCTTTGCATGTTTTTTGTGGAATTTGCAACAATCAAACTGGGTGTTTAGTTCCCGTCTTGAGGACCCCCCAAGTTTCATGCTCTGAAGTTCGTAAGTAGTTTTGATGGCCTTATCTGTTTGTGGCAAACCATTTCCGCAGAGTACGTGACGTGGATATGAAGCGAGACTATGCTTTTGTCGTATGTATCATCAAACTCATTCTTGGCTAATTCTTGATCCATACTTGTTTTTTTTATTTTATCAATTACACAAAGCGGGTTGCTTGTGTTTGGTGTATTGCCCCCTTGTTATTGTGCAGGAATTTAGTGATCCCCGTGATGCTGATGATGCTCGATACAGCTTGGATGGGAGAGATGTTGATGGGCGTCGTATCATTGTTGAATTTGCTAAGGGGGTAAGTAACTTTCTAGGGCTCTCTGATCAAATTCTTGCCAATGTCTTTGAAAAATTGCAAAATTACTTATTTTTTTGAGAAGTTGCGAAAATCGAGCAAGGAATGGTTGCTGTCTTTTGTTTCTTGAAATGGACTCTTCCATCGTGCAGTAACTTTTATTTTGTATTTTGTCATGCCTACAGGTGCCTCGTGGGCCTGGAGGGGTTCGTGAGTATGTGGGCAGAGGCCCGGAACCAGGCTCGGGCCGCTGCTTCAACTGTGGCATTGACGGACACTGGGCCCGAGACTGCAAAGCTGGAGACTGGAAAAACAAGTGCTACCGCTGTGGTGAACGAGGCCACATTGAAAGGAACTGCCAGAATAGCCCTAAGAAACTAAGGTAAAAAAATGGTCTAAAATTTCGATGGACCTAAAAGAACTATTTTCCTAAAATCCGTTCGAATCTGTTAAAAGATCTGTAATAATTTGTTTGTGATTATATACAGTGGACGTGGAAGAAGTTACTCACGGTCACCTGGGAGGTCCCGCTCTCCTCACCGCCGTGGCCGCAGCAGGAGCCGGAGCTTCAGCAGGAGCCGAAGTTACAGGTAAAAAAACACAAAAATCCGACATCTACATAAAAAAAAAAATCTTAATTCAGTTATATTCGTAAGAAACTTGAACCCTTTTTGTCTTGTCATTTTTCACTGTTGCCCAGTCGGTCAAGGTCCCCAGCTGCCAGAAGAGGCCGTGATGCGGATTACAAGGAAAGGCGGCAAAGAAGCTCGCGTGATGAGAGTCGTTCTCCAAATAGGGGAACCTCTCCTTCCAAGAAGCTGAGCCCATCTCCCGATGGGCTGGGAGACAGAAGCCCATCACCGGGTGGGGCCCGAGTAGAGAATGAGCGAGATAGGTACAGTGGAAGCCCGAAGGAGGGCAGCCAAAGCCCACCAGCTGCCAGGAGGTATGAAGAGTCTCCGCCTTATGCTGCCAATGGCCAGGATCGTAGCATGAGCCCAAGGGAGGACAGGAGCCCAGTTGATGATGATGATGATAATAACAATAATGCACCCAATTCTCCTCCTCGAGGCAGTGAGTCTCCTTAAGTGTGTGATATGAATAAAAAGTGCGGGCATGTAACGTAGTTTAAATCAAACTATGTGGAGGTTTTTGTTTTTTTCTTGGTTTGATGTTCTTTTCCTTAGTCCATGACTTATCTACTGCCTGTTATAATTGCTTAGTGAACTTGAAAGTGGAAACTTTAAGACATGTTTGGTGTTGCAATGTATTTTTATCTATGACTTGAGCTCGGTTATTGATTTTAGCCTATAATTGGTGGTATTTTTTTTTATTTTTTTTTTTTGGGACAATATGGGATTGGGAGGTGACTTGTTTCCTTAAAACACCAAAACGAGTGCATCAAGGGTGAGAGACTTGATCCGCATGTGAGACGACTTGAAATGTGAGCATGTGGGATTTATGAGCTGCATTTGGTTTCTTTTTATCATGTGGCTTGATTGGTGGTTCATAGAGTTGTTTGACTCATGGGTTCAGTCGGTTCGGCTCGTCTCGTCAAGGCTCAAGGTAGGCTTAAGCTTGGTTCAAACGAGCTCTGTTCGGATTCGCTTAAAGCTCGTTTCGTTTGTAAGTTGGGCTCGAGCTCCTTAAAGCTCGTTTCATGAACAAGTCGAGCTTGGTTTGAATCGTTTCGGCTCCAAAAAAAGAATTTTAATATAATTTCAATAACTCGGCTCGTTAAATTTAGAGATTGGTAGTTAAAGCTTAAATTTGATTTGTTACTATTGATAAACGAGTTAAATTTGAGCTTGATTTCTGGCTCGTTTACTTAATCAGTAGAGTCGAGTTCTGCTTATTAAGATCTAGTTCGAGCAACATGAGCTCGAGCACGGCTTCACTCGTTTACAACCCTAGAATAGTTTTTAATTGTTAACATGTTATGATGACTCATGGCTTGATTGGTGGTTCTCAGTGGTTATCGTGTTTTCATGATATGGGTTGATTAGTTCTCGGTTAACAAAATAGATGGGTTGATCAATTTCCAATGGTTAATAAAATATATTAAGAGATGTTATAGATGGCTTGATTTAGTGGTTAACGAAACATATTAAGAGGTATGTGATCATGATTAATTTCCAGACGCACTAATATTTTCTGGATGACTAAAATTCGAAATGGAATAAAAATTAAGGGAAAATCACGGAACCATTCAGGGGTTTGTAATCGTTAGATTATCGTGTAATTGTCGGGGATAGTTGATCTAACGGTTACAGACTCCGACGAATTGGTTCCGTAAGAGGACCTAGTATCTTCCAAAAATTAAACTGAAACAGTTAATAATACCGGGAGTTGACCTGGTCAATTCAATATAAAAAAATTTCACCCCAATCTGTGGAGATGCTTCAAACATGTTCTCCAAAATGATTTTGACTGTTTGAACCTCCACAAATCTTTCTCTAAAATAGAGATATATATCATCTCACCCTCTCAGCCTCTCAGGCCTCTGCAACCAAGCAATATGTTCAACAATGGCGTTTAATTTCACTTTCCCAAAAACAAAAACCCCAAAAAATAAAAACTGAAAAGGAAAATCATCAATCGGTGCTTATAAAGGCGCCAAAATCAAAAACCCCCCAAATATAGCACAGCCCAATGCCTAACCCTAGGATTTGGGGCTCCCTCCTCTTCCTTCTCCTCGCCGCCGCCGCTGCCGCGGCAGCAATCCACCACCCTACCCCAAGGGACAGGCTGCGACACCGCGCCCCCTCCCCCGGCCGCCCGCACCTGCGCCCGCCGCCGCTCGCCCCGTCGTTCGACCGCGAGCAGCAGGAGTACCTCCGCGCTCACAACGACCTCCGCCGCCGCGCCGGCGTGCCGCCGCTCGCCTGGGACCCGGTCCTCGCGGCGGAGGCGCGCTCCTGGGCGGAGCAGCGCCGCGGGGACTGCGACTACCGCCGGCACTCGGCCAGCCGGTACGGCGAGAACATCTTCTGGATGAGGTACAGGGAGTTCGATCCGGCGGACGCCGTCGGGTACTGGTTCGGCGAGTGGAGACTGTACGACCACGCGACGAACACGTGCCGGTGCCGGCCGGAGAGGAACGGGTGCGAGTGCGGCCATTACCTGGGCGTGATATGGAGCACCACCAGGCGGGTCGGGTGTAGCGGTTCGGTTTATTGCAAGCACCAGCAAGGGGTGTACGTAGTCTGCAACTACGACCCGCCCGGTTTGATCCCTGGGGTTGACCCGTTCACCGGTTTGAAGTTGAAATTGAATGGATTTAACCCGTTAATAGATCTGCATTGACCTGTTCCCTAGGGTTGACCCGTTCATAAATCTGGGTGATATATTTTTATTGTTTCTCTTTTTTATTCCCATTTTAAAAAAGAAAAAAAAAAACAATGAAATTGAATGGATTTCACGGGATGATATATATATATGATATAATACACAAAAGTGGCAAATTGAGCTATCTTGTTTGTTCGTACATTGTGTTTTCGTATTATCTATTTATTTGATTGCTCATATAGGATAATTAGTCTAAGTTTTTATTTAATATTTGTGGTTTGGATCGTATTGTGTAGTGTGTGTATTTTGACAAGGATAGTGTATCGATTGATGCGAATTTGTGAAAACCTGCACTTTCGGCCTTCGGTTAACATGAAAACTGTGCTCGAACGCGAGCGGTATTGTTTTCTTATTTCATAAGGTTTTCCAAATGATCAGTAAAAGAATTTTAAAAGAAAGAAAATACAAAAGAGGTCCTAAGAAACACAAATTAATAAAGCAAGATAAAAACTACGATAGATCGTTGAACAGGTCCCTGCTCCTGTCGGAACCGTTGCGGGGCAGCAAGCTTCGCTGACCTGCGACCTATGTTCACTCACAACTGTCATCGCGGCGTGATGGGTCGGGCGACTGGTCGCGACGGTGCTACATTGGGCATTGTGCGTAGGGGTGTTCATCGGTCGGTTCAGTCGACCGAACCGACCGAACTACAAAAATTTATTTAATCGATTCATTAATTTCAAAAACCGAACCGACCGACATATGTGCTTAAAACCGAAGTTTAACCGAAGCGAATTACTCGATGGGTTAACCAAACTTTTGGCCTTTTCATTGGGCCAAAACATATGGGCCTTTCAATTTGGGAAAGGGGGATGGGTTCGCATTTTTAAAATCTGAAGTGTTTTTTTTATTATTTTTTTATTTTATTTATGCCTAGGGTTATTGTATTAATGATAAAATATTATTTTATAATATATTATATAATATTTTAATATATATTGCATGCGGTTCGGTTATTTTTCGAATATTTGATGTCCGAAAACTGACACTAACTGAAATAACCGAACAATGATAAACTGAAAAATGAAAACCGACCAAGTTGGACAAAAACTGAACCGAAATTTTCGATTCAATCGGTTTTAGTCGAATTATGCACACCACTACTTGTGCCTGTGCCGGTTGCTGCTGCGGTTGTGCCCGGTGGCATGCCGCGGTACCCTGTTCGCATTAGCATTATACAACTTGTCTCTATTAATAGTGTTTTTTAACCGTGCCGTGCCTGCCATTTACAGCCCAACATGCATGACAGTAAGAAAGGAGAAGATAAAGAGACGCAGATATGTACATAAAAAAATGCTTCAACAATCGATCCACGTCCCAACGACTTATAATCAGTCACGACACATGATATGTGGTTTGGATTTTCGACCACCAAACATTTAACCTAGACTCTACAAAGAAAAAAAGAAATTCCAGTTACCTTCCACAATTACAAAAAGATAACTGGTAATGCTATCAAAAGTGAATTCAAGATCCACCATTCTCCTTTCCCTTGCCTTTCTCACCAAACGAGCCATTGTTCCTACCTACGACCTTACTTTTCCCTGGCTTCTGAACAGATTTCTGCCTCTTCTTGACGATTTTCATTGCTAGTGTTTTCAAAGGCAAATTCACATCGAGTGGCACCAAAATTTCAGACAGCTCTTCCCACTCGAGATCCTCAAAGTCCCCATCTTCATAGACCACCCTGTACCAACCCGTCTCCCCGTCAAATAGAGTTACGGTGCCGTTAAAATGATTTGTCCCGAACAATTTACGAACTTCCCTGCCCTCCACCCACTCACCAAACCCAGCAAATCTTTGTGGATGTACATCATCTACATCACAAGGTACGACAAGATCCGTCTCACTCGAGGATAATGGAGGGAGCTCGTTTATTACGATGGCTGGTTCGCCAGGAACCTTGAAAATTCCGGCTGGTGAGGGCTCGGTAAACTCCCCATTCTCTTTGGCCTCCATTGTTAGAATAGTATCTCTAGCTGACTTATGTAAAGTTTTTCGACCTATTACATCACACACATCTATAGACAGTGTAAAGATTAATTATGATATCAAAGATTGCTACTATATTAGAATAATAAGCAATTAAAATGTAAAAAACAGCAGGTAACCTGAGAAGAAAATTCGTAAAAGATACTCCCATTAGATTTGTAACAGCACAGATGATAATAATACTCCGAGTCATCACTAATAGGATGCAACAGAACTATAGTAAAATCATAAATCTATTAAGGACAGACTAATAGAGAACGTTGAAAGGAGCAACTGCATAAGGGGAAGAACACATTAGTGCATAATTTGTCACCCTTTAACCAAGTTTTTCTTCCAATTGTGAAATTAAACACAACTGAGAATATTGGCTTGAAGGTATAAAAGCTAATGAAACAGCAACTCCACATGGATTACATGTGGTTCGGGGAACTATATGTGTAGCAATTCAGCATAGATTATATGGTAGCACTACATATCTCATCTGAATTTTTACTAGTTATTTTCCGTTGACAAAATTCTGCATGAACCACGTGCACACAGACACACACTTATCGACATATATCATCAGATACCAATGACAAACACAACAGGAACGGAAACATTAAAAGGAAACACAATCCATTCTTTCAGTAATTAAGCCATATGCAGAAAAATACATTAATGCTGCTGAAGAAAAGCCGAAAAGGAAAAACGAAAAAAGAAAAGGCTAAATTGTTCGCAGACCATAAATTCTCATAAATCATTATTTCTGGAAATGAAAAATCATTTAAGAAGCCTTAAAAGATTAAAAAAAACACACACACAATTTATTCCGTGAGACAATCTAACTGTTAGACGGATCCACCCAGCATACTCTTTGAACAAAAATGCAAACTTATAACAGTTATACTATCAAATGTCATACTTTTGTTCACGTTATTTTTCACATTTTCTAATGAAAGTATGCATATTCGTGAAAAAACGAATGTAGGTCCAACGGTTAACCCAGCCTAAAACAAAATCTACTAGAAAAGTGAAAAGAAGGTCTCACTACTTTTCCAATCAAAGTTAAAAACAAATCTGACTTTTACACAGGAAAAACACATCCATCAACGCTTTAATTTGTTCGCATGCATTCACCGAGCACCTTACGGCTTACAGGGATGCACCTTACGGCTTACAGGGATGATTTACAGGACACCCAATCTAAGCCCAACGAGACACAAACTAAATCCAAAGCCCTAAAGCCCTAATCGAGCGGCGTTTGATCTCAGTGCAAAATTCATGGAAAACGTTATCTAAGTTTGTAGCTCAGCACCTTAAGAAACAAAAAAGAAAAGGATAATATTCGATTCGTGTTCAATTTTCATGCACCAAGCACGCGAAAATCTGCAACTCCATTTCTGAACACTAATAAATAAACACAAGTGAGCTAAATCTTTGCTCTGAAAATAGATCAAAGCAAAAGCGAATCAACGCAAATTTTCGAGAAAGAGACAGAGACCTGAGAGAAGGATTTTGCAGGAAGATGAAATTGAACGCTGGAAGGTCTGGAAAATGGCACCAATCGGCTGCACAGCTTCGTCTTCTATTAGGGATTAGAATTATCCAATTTCCATTTCCATTTATGAGCAGCCCGGGAGGACTTCATCGGCTAAACTGTCCCAAACCCCCAAAAGCGTGTTACTACCTTGTGTTTTAAAAATGCACCGACACCTCTTGTATTAGAGTAATCGATGCGTACGTTCCTTTTTTTTATGGCAAAATCTATATAAATATAAAAAGGTTTGACATTTACTTGAAAAAGAAACTATTTTCCCGCCTAAATAATTTGCTATTACTTATATTAGTAATTTTTTAAAATATTTTTAAAAAATGGCTGCCAATAATTTGAAATTCAAATTAAAAAAATCAAGTTAATTAAGGTACATAATCATTATGCTAAATATGACACTGTTACCATTCAAATGAGCAAATATTTTAGCTAACTATTATCTTATTAAAATCTTTATATAAACGTTATATATAAAAGATATGGGAATGTTTAATTAAATAAAAAAAGATCAAGTAAGATATTAAGATTTGTTGTCATTATCGGATTAGTTAGATATATTTATTACCAAATCAGATTTAATGGCAACAGAATTCCTAAATAATGTCTTAGATATTTTTTCCTTTTAAATTATCACGTGTGAATAAACCTTATTGGCTTTTTTTATATTATTTTTTAATTTATTTCACCAGTAAATTGATTTATCTTATAGTTTTTTCGTGAATATATTATTCCATTTTTAACATTAAAAACATTGTTTTTTATATATTTTCTTTATAATAATGTGCATGGACAGTTCACTATCTACAAAAAGACCTTAATTATTTTGTAAACAATTAATAGATTGTCGTACTTTAAAAATCAATGGTTTATTTACTTTTAGTTTTAAATTTAAATTTTCGATTTTATATGCAAAAAGATGAAGTTATTGATTTTTTATAATCAGTAGGCTATTATTTTAATAAAAAGATTTTATTTCTAATGTTTTAATTCATTAGTAATCTAAATTCTTCATCTTTTTGCATTATAAAATCGAACATTAATAATTGCATAATAATTTATAAATTATAATATAAATTATTGTACAATTATCCTTCCTATGTATCTATATCTATATCTATATAAATATAAAAAGGTTTGGCATTTATCTAAAATAGTAATTAAATTCCCGCCTAAAATTTTTAAAGTTACTAAACTTGGCAATATTTTTTTAAATTTTTTGAAAAATCCCAATATTTTTTGAAATTTTTTGAAAAATCCCGCCTATATGTGTTTTTGAATTTTTGTATAAAAATTATAAATTAAACATTTAAAGTAAAAAAGATCACAATCAGAAATTTTTGGTTACATTCCATTTTGCATAGAACTTTCCTATAATCTCTTCAATATCTTTTAGGAATGTAATTTAGATTGAAAATAAGAAAAATTAAACCTCCAAATTATATTAGCCCTCTAACATGTTCCAGTTCTAACGGCGATCCACACCAATTATTATTCTCTGTTCCTTTTTTTTTCGTCGAGCATAGGGAGAGGGGAGAAAGAGAGGCTTCTTTACTGATTCTCAATCACAGGCAGATGAGTTCGACAATTGGGCGTCCAATAAGAGCTTCATGCCCAATGGTTCCCTTTCGGATTCCCTGATTTCCATGTAAAAGCTTCAATCGTTTTCATCTTTTTTTAACTCTGCATATTTATCTCGCCTGGAAACCCTAGCGAACCACATCACATAAATTCAAACTGAATGATGATGTCTCTTGCGGCAACATCTCCATGGATGCGAATTGGGATTGATTTGAAGGTTCCACTGTCCCAAAATTATGATTCCTTTGAGAAGTTATCACGGATTTATATGTTGTGGAGATTTTTCTTTTCTCTTAATATTTTTTTTTTGTATTCTTATTTTAGATACATGGAAATTCCACCTAAGAATTTAATGAATCACAAGTTCAATTATACCAAGTGTTGGCTAAATCATGAAAGCAAATAATGAAGTAGAGTTTTATATTGGGAAATTATCCCAAAAAAGTGCAACTAGAATATTATGAAATGGGTTTCATTCCGCATATTCTTGCATAAGGTAATTGGGTGTTGATTTTTAATGTTCTGTGTTTGTTACTTTGTTTATATGTCTTGACATTTTCAAACTTTTTGTGCATTTGTTCTAGGCAATTAGCATTATGTCTAATTTTTAATAGTACACGTTTCCTACCATTGTCAAGAGCTATCCGGTCTTGTGCCAATGCGTCCATGGCCAGGTTCTGAAGAGAGGGGTAGGACTGTGGATCCACGTGCAGACCGCGGTCGTTAACATCACGTCCTCGACAGTATTACTAGCTCATAAAAGGTATTTGATGAAATGTCCAAAAGAGATGTTTCACGTGGTCCAGAATAATGTCAGCACACACATGTACCAACAACTTTGGCACTGAGAGAAGACTGCTCGACTTTGGGCTGGAGAAGGTCTCGCGTGGGTCGAGCTGGAATGTGGTGGGAAGGAAAAGTGCGTAAGTTTTGCAGTTCGTGATGATTATCACCTGGAATCTAGAGAAATTTGTGTTGTCCTGAATGTGTTAAGATTATGATTGTGTTAAGCAAATGATATATTTTATTTTATTTTTCTCTAACTTTTTCCTTGAGTTTGTGACTGAAAATCATAGAGCCTTCCTTAGAGAAATTTATATATTTGTTAATAAAAAATAATAAGTGGACAAAAAACAGAAACAAGGGGGGAGTGGACCAACATAAAAAGCACGTATTTACAAAATACGTTTTCTATATAATTTAATTAAAAAACGTATTCACTGAATACGTTTTTCACATTTTTTTACAAAGGAAAACGTATTCACGGAATACGTTTTCCAAATAATTTTTTCAAAAGCTGTATTCAAGGAATACGTGCTT